AATCGTCGTGTCGCGCTATCGTTCTACTTTTGTATTCAGTATAGTGATAACCCTACATAAGTGAAATATCTTCCACCGCTCGCAAACGCTATCGTGCGTGTGTGATACGTGCCGAACGTTGTTTTCGTCGATCTCGCCTCGTTACGGTCTACCGATGACTATCACATGACCCCACTGACGCTAATGGTTTCCTTGTAGTTTCGCAGTTTCCGAGCAGGTTATTTTAGCGCGTGTCACGCGAGACCCTCCCGGTCTAAAGGAGAAGGGAAATCCTCGCGGCTGAATGTAGATCGCTTCTCTCGAAAAATATCTCCTTAATGTCCATTTCTATATCAATGTATATTTTTCTAGTTGTAAGAATTAGAAAAAGATAAAGAGTAAGTTAAACCGAGATTAAAGTTAATCATTGATAGAAATGGACATAAGTCACACAACGGGAACTCCTTTGTTTATATTCATCGTTTTAAAAGTAAAACCATGATGGAGATGTGGAGATCAATATCACCTGATCTTGTACTCTAGAGGAACGTCGCCAGTTTAAATTAGTCCGAAATCAATGTCTCGAAATATAACGCGAGACGATTGATTCAAATGTCCCGAATTATAATTGACGCACGATAAGACGCGCTAAGCATGAAAAAAATAGACAAAACATCGATTGCGATCAGTGTTAGAGTCTGGACTTTGAACGGCTGATTACCGACAAAATACAATCCTAGAAAATTTTCCGTTCTACACTCTTACGAAATAGATCGGAGTGGACAGAAACATCGCCGAATTACCGTTGTCATGGACGCCGCTATCCGCACGATAAAGAATCGCTTTGTCTCGCGTGAACGAGCAAATATTTAAGAAGGATTTTTTATAGCTATAATATTAATAATAATTAAAAATAATAAGTCAACCGCTCAATCTAAGAAAAACTTAAGAGAAACGGTAAACAACCAATAACGAGCATAAAAAGATGTTAGATAAAGAAAAAAATTTAGATTTATTCTGTTATTCACAACAATATAAAGCGTATTTCGATTTAGACACTAACAAAAAATTAAGATGACTAAGCTTTATGCTAACATCTTTTTATGCTAACGTTCATCACTTTCTTGTTGTTTGTTCTAATTATTAAAATTCAACATATGAGATTTTCATATGCTTTGTGTATGCAGTGCATGGAAAAAGTGCATAGAGAAATACGAGGAGAAAAAGAATATTCTTGATTTAAAAATATCTTTAGTTTCAACGTGGAAATATTGAAATGAGATTATATTGCGTTAAACTTGCTTGAAGAAAACTTGCTTGAATGAAGTAATTATATACATGTACAGTGCAACCAAGAAAAAAATGTTGGAATAAAAAGTTGAAATTCTTATAAGAAGATTATAGTGATCTTGCTTATATATGAAACTCTATAAGAATTTCAACTTTTTATTTCAACATTTTTTTTCTCGGTTGCACTATATAATGACTTTATTCAAACAAGTTTTCTTCAAGCAAGTTTAACACAATATAATCTCATTTCAAGATTTCCACGTTGAAACTAAAGATATTTTCAAATCAAGAACATTCTTTTTTTCTGTATGTAATTTTTGATAGCGATTATCTCGTGTTCGGGACGGTCAATTAAATACTTTTAAACTGTACAAACGTGTAGATTTATTAACGTATAGTAAAATTTTCAAATTTTTCTTGTTTATTGCGATTCGCGAAACAACTATTATACCTTAAATTAATAATATTAATAACGCGCGACTCTGACTTCATTTCGCGGTGTACACCGACCTATGTAGCTATTTTTTCGAAATTCTACAGGCCAAAAGAATATAAACGTCTTTTATCAATCTGTTGAAAAAACAATTGATTCAAATCCTAGCGCATAGCTGAAAATATTGAAACAATATTTCAGCTGTAGGACTTCGATCCCGAAATACATACTATAGATTCATATACCTTTTTTTAAAAAATAATAATCCTCGCTCGCTACGATTTTACATTACATTAAACTGGTTAACGAACTCGGTAGATTCTGATTAATCGAGGAATATGACTAGAAGTTTTTATCTATCTACTTAAACAATTGATCGGAATCAATTATAATAGCGACATACTGCTCCGCTGTTTGCTCTCTGATAAAGATTGAGTACGTTCGACTGGCTGGTGACGTAAAATGGATAAAATTTTCGCAGTTAGCGTGTGAATGTACAATAGAATAAATGCGGGATATATTCCTGGATAACCGACGCTTCTAACATTTTACGTAATCGCGCGCAGCGAAACATTGGAATATTAACTGTTGAGGTCGCGGACGCGATTGTATAATAAAACGCCTTGCCATCGCGCGCGTGCACACGGGTCGAGAAAAAGAGAAATCGAACCTCGGACTATTTCTAAAAAAGATTGTCACTGTTGACGATATTCTTAAATGTTTGAAAAGCGTCGGTCCAAATTGCGTGCATATTTAATGGCTTGTTGCGCCACGAGATAAAAAAATCACTCGTATACCAGCATGCCGCTAGAAAGTCAAGCAAGAGAGAAAGAGAGAAGAAAAGAGAGACAAAAATCCTTTTGAGGACACTAAACAGAGAAATATAGAAATATACAAGGTGTTTTCTAAGTAAGTACAAAAAATTGAAGGGATTATTCCTGCCTTATTTTAGGAAGAAAAAGGCACTTCTATTAACATATGCCCTGCTTTATTTTCGAAATACACGGTGTCAAAGATGCACGCCCCTGGTGGATCTAAAAATGTTTTATTGGTACTGGAAAATGGTTCTTAATAGTTTAATACTACATATATACACATAAATTTGAATAAAATACCTTTAAACGTTTTCCGATAATTTTCGAAAATTTTATTTGTTTTCATAACTTTGACACCCTGTATTTTGAAAACGAAGCAGTTTAGGGCATATGTTTATATATATAGGCCGATACTCATAGTCGGATCTTATTTCAAGACCGTCTTAAGTAATGTCTTAAGATGCTAATACGGCTCTGTGATTGGTTCATAAAATCTTAAGATACTTAAGACGGTCTTAAATATAAGATCTGACTATAAATACTGGCCATAGGACCTTTTCTTCCTAAAATAAGGATATTCCGTAGGAATATCCTTTTCAATTTTTTGTACTTAGAAAACACCCTGTATACACAATCATTTCTCGAATTGGACTCGCAGTCGTACAGAAATAAATCCCAGGCGCCATTTTCGGATGAAAATCTCGAGTTAATGGACAAAGTCATGCGCGGATAAAATATAGCGGAAAGTAAACCAACTGTAATGACATATAAATAAGCCGGGTACAGTGAGTAAAGAAACCACGTCAATTTTAATAAAGTAAGCCGCTCGTCGTAAGTCGTAAATAAGTCATAATGATGCGAAGGGAGAGCGAAACTGGAGCAACTGTGCGGCACGTCGTAAATAACTTAAAGACCGATCAAAAATAAGACAAATCGGACGATAAAAAAAGGAAGGCCAAGCGTCGGGGCATCTCATTGACACTTGTTTAGAATTTCGTTTGATTTAAGAGACTTTAAGAGCAGAAGAAAAAGAGAGAGAGAGAGAGAGAGAGAGAGAGAGAGAAAATGAGAACACGACAGGTCCAATAAAGAATCCGTGAGAGCGACGGAGACGAACGACGGGGATCACGTGGCGTTAGAGAGAGACAGCGATAGGGCGCCGCCGAGAAGTGCGAGCGAGATAAAGCGTTGTAATCGGAGAAAGAGACAGAGCGATGATTCACACATCGAAGAAGCGAGACGATTGCATCAAACACGCATCTCACACACACACACGAACGCTTTCCTCTCACTCTTTCTTTATTCCCTCAAAACCTGTCGAATTCACGAATTACAAGCGGTATTATCGTGTCCGGCGTCCGTCAATGACACGACAGCCGCGAGCGAGAATTCGCGTCACCCTGGATCCATACGGCTGTTCCGAAAATAAAGACGCGCGACTTTCACGCACTCTCTCTCTCTCTCTCTCTCTC